CCTGAGCGGAGCGATAAGGAGCGCGATAAGGAGCGGCAGTGCCCCCCCGCCTGCCCTGCCACCGCCCGCGCTGGAGCGGGGCCAGGGGCTCGCCTGTGTTCACGGGACACTGTCGGCTCCATCCCCACAGGCCAGGGGCTTACCTGTCCTCACAGGACCCTGCTGTTCCCAGAATCGAGGGGCTCCTCTGTTCTCACGGGACCCTGCTGTCGCTCATCCCACAGGCCAGGCACTCGCCTTTCCATGTGGGACCCCATTGTCCTTCATCCCTGTAGTGGGACCGCAATCCCCAAAGTTCAGGGACTCGCCTTTCCTCAGGGAACCCTGTTGTCTCCCGTGCCACTGGCGAGGGGCTCGGCTGTGCTGATGGGACACTCTTGACCCCCATCCTGAGCACCTCGGTGGATGCCTGGCCTAGCAGAGGCCCACGGATGTCACAAGTGCCCAAGAGTTTTGTCCTGTGATCTGGCAGTGGGTTTGGGCCAGGGAGCTTGGGAAGATGCTGGACAGCATAAGAAGGTCCCACATGGGAAGGGAGAGCAGGTGGGGGTGGGCTTCAGAAAAGGTTTGTTGTTGTTGGGTGTATTTTTGTTGTTGGATGCCACAGAATTGGAAATAAGGTGGGGGAGATTTGGTCTTCTGGGAGGGAGCTCAGCTTCCCGGGATGGGACAGGCTGATCCCCCTGTTCCTGCAGACCCTGCAGCCCGCTCCTGCCTCACTCTGCAGGGAGGGGGGTCCTGGAGGGCACCTCGGGGTGTCTGTTGTGTTCAGTGCCTGTTCCAGGGCCAGAAGGGAGCAAGGCTCTCTTTGGGATCAGAGGCAGTGACTTGGGTCTGGGACATCAGCAGAGACCCAGGAGTCGGGCTCCCTGCCCACACCGAGGGCTGGAGCGGGGAGAGGAAAACGCCCATCCCTGTGTCGGCACACCCTGCCCGCCTTCCCCTGGCCCCTGCTGATAAAGGCAGGGAACGTGGCTCTGATCCCTCCTCTCCTGAGGACAACAGGGCAGCTCCAGCCCCAGGATGTGGGGCAGTGTGAGGAGTTCCACGTTCCCGTATGGAATTTACTCTGTGCAGTGGTTGTTGCTTCCCTGTAGAGGTCAGGAATGCAGCACAGAAGGAGTTCCCTTCATCTCACCCTTTTCCTGAAGTCTGCTGCAGACCCAGTGTGCTGTTCTCCAATTGCAAAATCCCCCCTAACAGCCTGGGAATGAATTAGGACAGACCAGTTGGCTCAGTTATGCCAGGCTGGACAGGGCTTGGAGGAACCTGATCTAGTGGAAGGTGTCCCTACTCATGGCAGGGTGTAGATCTAGATGATCTTTAAGGACCCAATCTAAACCATTGTGTGATTCCATGGACTTCTGGCATGGCCTTAACCTCTCCAGTCACACTCTGGCATCAGGAAGATGGGACCATGGCACATCAAAATTTCATGGAGGGAGGAGAAATATTTATATCAGCTTTGGAAAACATACAAGGAATTGTGGATGTGGTGATAACAAGTTTGCCGAGGCACCAATGCAAGGCAAATTCTGAGTAGCTGGGTCATCCTTTACATACTCTAGTGAGTCCAGAGCTGGTCTAGTCCTGGAGAAGCTGGGGGCCATCAGGCAGTCAGGTCTGGGGCAATGTCCCATCCCTGGAAATGTCCAAGGCCAGGTTGGACAGGGCTTGAAGCAATCTGGGATAGTGGAAGGTGTCCCTGCCATGAGATGGTCTTTATGGTTCCTCCCAAATCATTCCATGATTCTATTATGTGAATCTGTGAGAGCAGTGGAGCTCTCAGCCCACCAAGAGATGCACAGCTCAGTGGGGCTGCAGGGGAACCACCCCCCCTCCCCACCTGTGTGTTTGGTTTGGGTCAGCACATGATGCCCCAGCCTTGGTGGGTCTGTATGGGGGCCTCACACAGTACTTAAAGACTTTGACACAGTTCTCCACTGTGTCTGTCACAAAGAGGTGTCCAGAGGAAGAACAAGCCATGCCAGCGGGCCTCCGCAGCCCTGTGGACACCAGGCAGATGGGAGCTCCGTGCTCTGGGAACAAGTGGACTGTGCGGCGCTGCTCGTCTGCCACCAGGATGCTGCCGTCCGTGTCCACGCAGACCCCAGCGGGGTTGCCAAACTGGTGTCCATATTTGCTGCTGAGGGAGCAGAGGAGCTTATGGCTGCTCATGAAGACCTTGACATCTCCACACTCCTCGCTCACCACAAAGCCTCCACTGGGCACCGGACTGACGTAACGAGGTCCCTGCAGATTGGGGACAGAGTGGACATTGACTGTCCTGAAGGCATGGTCCAGAGCAAAGCTGTGCACTTGGCCTTGTGCGTAGTCTGCTACCAGGATGTTGCCCACGGAGTCTACTCCAATACCCCTGGGGGAACCAACCTTCCTGATCTTTATCCATTCCCCCTTGGAGAGGCTGGTGTGAGGGTTGAAGACCCAGATGGCTTCATTCACCACGTCAGTTACAGCCACCATTCCCATCCTAGTCACAGTCACATCTTCTGGCAAGAAAATGCTGCCTCCCTTGCCTTCTTGCTGGCAGGGCAGGGACTGCCGTGTGTGGCCTGTGCTGCTGAGGACGTGGACCCAGGGAGCGCTCTCAGCTGTCACGTAGATGGAGCCATCCAGGGAGCAATGGATTCCACTGACACCTCCATAGCGGCTGCCACTGGGGTTGGGAATCTGCCGGACCAGGTCATCCTGGCAATAGTGGAGGAGGTTCTTGATGTTGTCCAGATCTCCACACAGGCTTTTGGCTTTATCTGCCAGCTGGTGGACCTGGTGCTGGGTCACCATGCCCATGCCACGCTGGCTGTGCAGCAGCGGGCTGGCTGACTGCAGTGTGGTGAATGACTTCACCTGGAGACTGTAGATGGTTTTCAGAAGCTTCTGCTTTAGCTGGCTGGTCTCCAGCATGTAGTCCATGACAAATCTCTTGTCCCTGTTTGGGGGAAGCAGTTAGGACCATGACTGTCCCTGCCTGCTGCCATCTCTGGGGCCATGCTATGGTGCTTGCTATCTACCCTGGGTCAAGGTGTTGATGCTAGTCTGGATTTACTTCATGCCAGAGAGACCACATCACTTTATTGTCAGCTGTTTATGAAATAGAGACAAACATGGACCATGGCACAGCAATGAAGGGGTCAGTAAGCTGGATCCACAGCTGGAGGAACAAGCCAAAAAAACTCCAACAGCTCCAACAGCTCAGCTGGTGTCAGATGTGTCAGGTACACCTCTGCAAAGGTAAGCCCTGTGTGTGAACATATTGAATGGGGTCTCAGACTCTCCAGTTCCCAAGACAGTGGCTTCTTTCAGGTCTTAAACACTTGTTACCCCTATTTTCTGTGAGCCTCATCTCTCCAAACCAAGCTCAATCCATGATAACACTTGAGTCATTCAGGGTGACCATTCCTTGACTCCCACAAGTCAGATGTCAAATGTGGCCAGTGCATGTCTTTGCTCAGGGCAGCCCCTTTCCCATCCAAATCATTTTATAGAATCACAGAGTATCCTGAGTTGGAAGGGGCCCACAAGAATCATCCCAGCCCTGCACAGACACCCCAACAATCCCACCCTGTCCATCCCTGGCAGCGCTGTCCAAACACTCCTGGAGCTCTGGCAGCCTCGGGGCTGTGCCCATTCCCTGGGGAGCCTGGGCAGTGCCAGCGCCTCTGGGGGAAGAACCTTTCCTTGATATTCAACCTAAACCTCCCCTGGCACAGCTTCAGCCATCCCCTTGGATCCTGTCCCTGTCACAGGGAGCAGAGATCAGCGCCTGCTCATCAACTTATTATTGAAGTAGCCAACAACTTGTCAGGAGGAAAAGGGGAGGTTCTGCTCTGAAAGATACATTCAATCTTCACCATTTTTTCAGATAAGAGAGCCACCATGAGAACACAAATTTCTCTTTTGCACACTCTCCCTTTCTTTTAAAACCAGACAACAAAGGGAGCCAAGCTTTGCTGTGTCCTCCCCAGGCCTGGCTGGAGCATGGCCTATGACACACAGCCAGGAGCTGTCAAGGGAAATGTTAAGAGAAATATGAACTCATTAAAGCTCCTGGAGAGGCACAGCTTTACTTTGCTTTAAATGTGATTATAATTAATATTATAATGGGCACACTTGGCTGTTTTGAGTTGTCTGCAAGCCATCACTCCACTTTTATTGCCCCATGTCCCGTGATTGCCTGGATTATGTGCCTTATGCTGTTCACCAAAGTGACATTTCCCCAGACCACAGTTGGAGAAAGCTGAGGCATATAGTGCCAAATGGTCCATCTCATGTGCAAATACTACAACTATTTAAAAGGCATCCCTGAATAATTGCAGCATTACCAAATGCAAATACACAGTAATGGGAATGAGAGAATACAGAGGAAATCAAATTTCTGCTGTTTTGGGGCCAGGGAACAGATTTTTCTTCCCCATGGTGGTTATTTCTTCCCTTGTGTCTCCTGCAGCAGAGATCTGCTTGGTGGAAACAAGCCCTCCATACCCCAGGACTGCTTGTCAGGGTCCTCTTTCAGAGCTGGACAGAGTCCTCAGTTCAGTAATCTGGATTTTACAGATGGAGAAACTGAGTGACTGCCAGGGAGATGATGTGCCAGCTGCCACATACCCCTCATCAGGAGCATCCACCTTGCTTCCTGGGCACTGGCCACCCAAAGCTGCCTTCAGACCCTCGATGGTGTGTCCTGAGCCTAGCTTGAGCTGCTTGGGGTCCAAACCCAAGAAGAGGGCTCTGATGCTGTACCCCACACAGCTCAGGATACAAGCCTGGATACAAGCCCAGCACCACAGATGCTGTACCTTAGTCCTGCTGTCCTGGGGGCTGCCTGTCCTTCTGTGGCAGCGCTGGCCTCCCACCGGCTCTGTCCTGTTCCCTTGCCGGGCTCAGGGCAGCGGGACCAAGGGATGTTGTGTTGTTAGTGACGGGTGATTGCCCTGAAGTCTGGGTAAACACAAGAACTCCTTGTGCTGACAACCAGAAGCAGCAAGACAGAGGCTGATCTAAATGGTTTTTACTTCCTGCTGGTCTCTTGCCCTGAGACAAGGTGTCTTTCCCACAGGATCAGTCTGTGTCCCACCTGCCTGCTCCTGCCAGCTGCACGGGGGATTTGGGGCTTTTATGTAGAGGCAAAAGGGCTGATTTGCTGCTCCTCACCCTTGGCAGCTGCTGGGGTGGGACAGGGACGCTCACATGGTGAATCAGGGCTCCTCACAGCTTCTCCACTGCCTCCCCCTGTGCCCCAGCCTGGGCACAGTGCAGGTGTGTGCTTCAGTCTCCCCAGTTACGGAGACTGGTGAATTTTGCCATGTTAGGCTTTGAGGTGCAATGATGGAGAAGCATCTCCAGAAGAGGTAGATCAGCCAGGACTGCTGGAACAGCTCCCCTTTCCATCTCCATGCTGCTCAACCCAGGCTCCCCACAGCTGGACACAACCGTGCTTGGAGTTGATGATGGCATTTATTAGTTCTGCCCCAACAAAGAGGGTCATGAGTAAAAGAACTAGCAAGAGCAGCCTGCTGCTGCTCAGAACCTTCCCTCTCTCCTGGCAGTGATTCCTGACAGTGCTTCCTGAGAGTGCCCTCTCTGCTTTTGCCCAAAGCAAGCTCAAACCACCCACCTTAAACCTGGCTAAGTCGTGAAGAAGTTTGTGTCTGTTCCTTATTCACAGGGACTGAATATGAGTGAAGTTTTGGTCAGACTCAGCCACCTTTGGGGATGCTTGGAGGGGCTGCATGTGCCTCCCTTAGGACTAAGGGAGCAGATTTGGGTCCATCTGGCTGCAGGAGCTGTGGGATGGGGATCTGCCTCCAAAGCCCCAGGGCTGGTGCTCCTCTCACCAGTTGTTTAGGGTCCTTCTGGTCCTGGATCAATGTATCCCTGAACCTCACTCTGCTTGCCTCAGACCTATTACCAGCCAAAATTACAAAAATAACTTGCCTTGACAAGCACTGGGGCTGCTCCATCCGAGCCCCAGCAGGACAGGAGGCAGCTTCAAAAACCATCTCCCAGGGCAACAGGGTCTGACCTTTTGTTTCGCTGTTGTGTGCTCCATCACCAGGATAAACAAACACAGCCTGGCCCTGGGGCTCCCGTTCACCTTTCCAGGACCGTGGCTCTGTCACAAGCTGTTCAGAAGCCTCCTGGACCCCAGGAGAGTCCCATGTCATGGCAGAGCCCTGGCACAGCCCATGCCCACACCAGCCCTGGGAGCTGCAGGGTTCAAGGGCATGGTCAGCCTGCTGCTGCCAGAGGTGGATCAAGGGAAAGAGAGGTTGGATTCAGTTCAGGCTTTCCTGGATTACATTCCTTGCAGGTATAAGTGGAAAACTTTATCCCCTGGGGCTTTTCCTCCCCTGGCATAGGGGCAGCAGCTCTTGGTTGTGTGTCCACAAGGAGCACACAAGCCCTGTGTCTCTGCCAGTACCTGTGCCCAGGGAGACAGGCACAGTGCCTGCCCGGCACACTACAAGTGTGAAGGGAGCCAACAGGAGATCCCACAGGAGGAGTCAAGGTCATTGCTACCAAAATCACAGATTTTTGGGAAAACAGCCCAAACCCATCCACTGAGAATATTTCCCCACCTAGGGCACGGCTCTGTGACTGGGAAGAGTGTGGGGGACCCAAAAGTCCACAGTGTCAGTCCAGTGTCAGTTGTGGGGCTGCAAAACCCTCCTGTGGCTCTGGTCCCCGCTGGACACCAGAGCCCTCCAGCCCCAGGATCCCGGCAGCCCCCATCCTGCTCCACACCACTCAGCACAAGAAGGTTGTGGCCAAGGGCTGTGGGGGTTTGCTGGGACCGAAGGGCCGATGAGGAGAGGGCCAGGATGAAGCGGGAGTCGGGCTGGTCATTGCTCTGTGCGGACACCAGGCGGCCCCGTCTGTCCGAACAACCGGGAATGATGGACACTGATCACCGAACAGCCGGAATGCGCCGTGGCTGTGTGTGTCTGCAAGGGAAAGTTGTATCCCAGGGCTGTGCAAGAGCTTTCGGTGGGAAGCTGAAGCATCCACTGCACATCCACACACAGAAAACACGATCTGTCCTGGCTGCACTCCCCCACTGTCCGTGGGATGTTTGCAGTGTCCGGCTGGGGACATGCAGGCACTGGGGACACTGGGGGACACAGCTCTTGGAGTCTGATCCCCCACACAGGCTGAGACTGGGCTGGGGCTTCCTAAACTTGGTTCCATGGAGGTGAGAGCAAGAACTCAGCTCCTCTTCAGAAATCACAGAACTCCCTCCAGAAAGGAAAGCTGTTGCTACTCTGGTCCCTAAAACTGACCCAGCTCTGTCCTCTGGCCAGCATGGACACCCCAGAATCCCTGCTGCTGGTTGCTAACCAATGGAAAAGATTCTCCAGAGTCTGACAGGGGCTCAGCTGATGCCTCAGCTTCTCCCTTTCTCCCTCCTCTGCAGCCTCCCTTGCTCACAAGAGGATTAGGGAGTTAATCCTCTTTGGAACATCAAGCTCCCTGTTGAGCCTGCTGGGAAGGGCCAGAAGCTGTGGAGCACAGTGGGGCACTGCCACAAAGCCCCTTTCGTGCCAGATACAGCCCTGTGGATCAATCCCTGTCCTGGTGGCAGCATCCCCATTACCACCCCCTTCGCCACCCAGCCAGGGCACAAACCTTTCCCCAGGGCCATGGGAGCCAGGTAATGGTCCCACCAGTCTGTCTCCCTCCACCCCATCCTGGCCTCTCCACCTGGTCTGGAAGGGTGGTGGGACAAAAGAGAAGCATCCTCCTGTCCTGGCAGGGAACAGCATTCCAAGGCTGTGCACGAAGTGGGAAACAAACAGAAGCTCTCTGCAAACACAGTTCCATGCTCAGCCCACTGAGGAGGGCTCTGGAGGTCCAGGAGCTCTGTAGAATCCCAAGGGCATGGCTATCACTGGAGCAAAGTGATGTGCTGGAAGCATTCCCTTGTGGATGGTACTGAGCCAATTGGTGTTCCACGAGGGATTGCTCTTCCTCTGAAGAGGAAGGGTACAGGCTGGCACTGCTCCTGTGCCACAGGCTTGTGGCCATTGGCTACAGGTGGGCAAGGCAACACCTGCACCTGCACTTTCTGTTCCCACTTCCCATCCAAAGCACAAACTGTCAACATCCTTGGGTACCCTGCACCTAAAATCAGGGAGGAAATAACAGTGGCTGAGTACTTTGACTCCCTGAGCCCTGGATCTGGGAAGATGATGTGTGTGTTTTGGCTTGGAAGCAGCTGCTGCCTGGGGTGGGGGAGCCAGGGTACCCACAGTGCCCAGCTGTGCAGGTGCTCCTGGCTCTTCAGGAAGCTTCTGCCTTGCGGGAATGTTTGCTCCTTCTCTCTCAACCATTCGAGAATCAGCATCTTCTCCTGCACCCCAAGGCAGCAGTGGGGGACGTGCAGCCACAGTGCCCTGGTACCACTTGACATCTCCTGTGTTGCCCCAGCCCCAGCAGGCACGGGAAGTAGGCAGGGAAGTGGGCAGGAAGGCAGGAGCTGATCAAACAGCAGCAGCCAGGATCTCACCCTGCTTTAG